TGGCTGGGTGGAAGTGTGATGTTCTTTCCAGAGGCAGTTGGGATGGTAAAATATGATGACAATAAATTTCACCTTGTGGTCTTGAGTAAAGGCTTGGGTAGAAAACCAAACTGCAAAGTAAATAAGGTGCTCTTAGGGAAGCAACTATGGAGAATTTGTCAGAACTAGACATGCTTTGGAGATGAATCATTAATGCCAAATATGGTAGTGGACATTTTGATGGAATTCATGTCAACTTGGTGATCCGAACAAGAGAGAAACACACAATTTCAGGGGTGCCAATAGAATGAATCGACCTCCACCCCCAAAGAGCCTTTTATATATTAAAATATGTACAATTACAAGAAAGGCCTTATAGGGATGAAAGAGGAAAAAATAAAAGAATAAGACACAATACATCAGGGACTTTTATAATAGGATACATCAAAACTCTCCACACTCCCCCTCAAACTGATGCGAAGTCATAAGCATTGGTTTGCTCACAAGAAAGAGATGTTTTGATCTCGTCATAGCCTTAGTAAAAATATCAACAATCTGCATATCTGAGGCCATATGAGGAAGTGAAATAGAATCTATAAGAAACATGCCTCTAATAAAGTGACAATCCACCTCACTATGTTTAATCTTCTTGTGGAAAACTGGATTTTTAAGGCGATATTGATAGCACTGGTGTTGTCAGCATAAAGAGGAATAAGGGTAGGAAGATGAGCACATCCTTAAAGAGAGATGCAAGATATCAAGATGAGTCATAGACTCGTAGTAAGATAAATGAGAGAGCCCACAAGTTGTTGAAAGAGAGTGGCATCAAGAAGTAGTGAACCTTCTGACTTTGATAACTTGACATTCAACTCTAAAGGAGTATCGACCTGCTTGTCTTCATCATCAATAAGACCAACCAACTTGACAAGATCAGAAGCATACACATAAAATATCCTTGATCACTTCTTTGGGCATCCAGTCCTAGAAAGTAGGTGAGAGCACCCAAGTCCTTCATATGAAACAAACTATGAAGCAGGGATTTAAGTTCTCTAATTCCTTCTTTATCATCCCTAGTCAACAACATATCATCAACGAACAGGAGGATCGCGATACCTTGAGGTCTTCTAGGAATAAGGAGAGAATAATTAGAACTTTGGCTATAGCCGGCAACAACAAAGAAAGAAATTGGGGTAACGAAGGAAATCATTTTTCACATCCAACTGATAAACGGACCAAGAGTGTACAACTAAGAGCCAAAAGATCACGAACCGTAGTAATCTTGGCAATTGGGGCAAATGCCTCTTCATAATTAATACCATATTCTTGCATATACCTCTGGGCAACAAGACAAGCTTTGTATTGTTCTAGGGAGCCATTGGACTTCAATTTGATACTGTAGACCCATCTACTCCTAATAATAATGGCATCTGAGTGTGTAGGCACAAGATCCTAAGTGTCATTTTCATGCAAAGCTTGATGCATGAATCTTCTTTCCAATGAAAGTTGCTACTGGCTTGCTAATAGGTACAAGGAATATTTATGGAAGATAAGACGGTAGACAAGGAGCTATGGCTTGAAGGGAAACCATAGAAGTTAGGAGGTCTAGAAATGCGAGTAGAACGACGAAGAGGAACAAAAGCAAAAGGGGTATATGAAACAAGAGTATCTGAAAATAAAGGAGTATCAATTACAGGAGTGGTTGTGGGATGATCTGAACTGGGACGAAGGGGGTAACAGGCACAAGGACTAGCACACACAACTGCTTGCGAGAGAAGAAGAGAAGATGGGCATATATGAAACAAGAGGAGTATCTGAAAATAAAGGAGTATCAATTACAAGAGCGGTTGTGGAATGATCTGAACTGGGACGAAGGGGGTAATAGGCACAAATACTAGAGCACACAATTGCAGGAGCGGTAGGCAGGTGGATCATAATATAAAAATCCCTTGTGGTTAGGATTATAGCCCACAAAGGCACACATAGCAGATTGAGTAGACAATTTAGAGCGTTCATGAGTAGGGAGATGCACAAAACATTAGCAACCAAACACATGAAGAGTAGATAAGTTTGGCGGACGACCAAACGGTTTCTAAAAAGAAGATGCATTAGCAAAAATGGAAGAAAGAATGTAATTGATCAAGAATACATTCGTACTAGCTGCTTCCACCCAAAAGGAAGATGGTGCATGCGACTCCTATAAAAGGTCCTCACAACATTGAGAACATGTCCGTTCTTATGCTCTGTCACACTATTCTGCCAAGGAGTATCTAGACAACTTCGTTGAACTTGTATCCCATTAGTCTTCAAGTAAGATAAGTTTCCATCCGTGTACTCTCCCCCTGAATCTGAGCCGAGGATACATACACAAGACTTAAACCGAACTTGTACTATGGTGTGAAATAGCTGAAATGTTGGGAAGACTTTTGATTTATGCCGAAGAAAAGAAATTCGTGTGTACCTAGTGCAATCATCAATGAATAGTACGAAATACTTGTATCCCAATAGAGAAGTAATAGATGAAGTCCAAACATTAGTATGCATAGTTTTAATGGAGAAGTAGCATGTTTAGACTTGTGAGGAAAAGGCAAAGTACAACAATTACTCAAACAAGAAACACATGTAGTGTCAAAAGTTTGCAAAGGGGGAATCTTATTTCTTATAAAACTAGAGTCCTACAAAAACTTCAATTTTTCAAAATGAGGATGACCCAAGCATTTATGCCACAAATCCCAAACATTATTTATTTGACCCAAAAAAGAACTAGATGAGGAAAAACTGAAATAAGCTTATGACTCGGCTATGTGAGACTTCTTGAACTCCAAAGCAAACAGGCGGCCTAGCCTACGTCCCTTCCCTTTCACCTTCCTAGTGCACCGGTCTTGGATCAAGAAACCATCAAAAGAAAAAGTAAGAATGTGACCATCAACAAGTTGATCTACTAAAATAAGGTTAGTAGTGAGATTGGGGACAAAGAAGGTCTTGGTAAGGGAAAAGGAAGTGGAGGGTGAAAGCTTAAGGGACAAATCATTACTACCAATGATGCTCATTTTTTCACCATTGGTAGTAACAATGTGTATATTATGGGTTTTAGTACAATTACTTGAGGGTTCTGGGTGGCTTCGGTCATATGATTAGTAACTTTAGAATCAATTATCCAAATAGGAGAAGAGGAAGAACAATAACCGGAAAACTCACCAAGCCAATAGTAGATAAAGCAGAAGAGATAGCAATGGATACTAGTTGTTGAATTTTTCCTTCATCCAAAGGTGTAGATGATTCACCTTTAATAGGTGAATCAGACTTGGTATAAGTGATGTTGGACGTCTGGCCCTCAGTCACCTGATATGATGAGGCTGGTTCTTCTTTGAACACCCTTAGCAGGTCAAATGGGGCAATCCAGAATAATGTGACCATGGTGCTTACAATAAGTACATGCATGTTTCTTCTTACAAAGAGAAGCAATATGGCTGAACCCTTTACAATCATAGCATTGAACCTTTACTTAGGTGCAAATCTCCTAAGGAACTAGTTCACCTTTCTCTTCTCAAAGTGCTTCTGAAGATACTTAATGCACTCTGAGGAGTTTGAGGGATCAATATGAACTAGTTCATATTCTGCCCACAAATCAAGAAAACTAGCATAATATTCTTGCATCTTCTTATCCCCTTGGTAATAACTAATTAGCAAAAATTTCAGACTCGATTTAGTATTGTCTTGACATGTTGGACTGATGGTAAACCTTCTTCAAGTAGGTATACATCTCATAACCTGTTTGCATCCTTCTCGTGGCTACAGCAATGTGAGAAAATCAAACTCAGAACCCAAGAAACGATTTTTCTATTGTCCAGCTTCCATTGCGAAAAGGTCTTGGTACCAGTTTCATCAGGATTAGTAACATTTCCATTCAATTAACCATCCAGGCCTTTTCCTTCAAAAAGTTAAAATGGAACTTCCACATGCTGTAATTAGTTCCATCAAACTTCACAGGAATGATATCAACTTTCTCAGCCATCTTCAAGGAGTAAACAAAATCTGGAGAGGAAAAACAACACTGAAATCAATACTAAACTGAGAAACAAGCAATTCACCACTCAAATCCGATCAAAGTCCAGTCTAAGCCTTTTGTGGAACACCTACCACTGTAGGAGAATAGGATTCTTCAAGAAGAAATCCTTAACAAGAAGTATCTATGGATGACAGTCCAAAAAAGGAAAGTTACAGGACTGTCGATCCAAAGTAGGGATTGAAAACCCTTCATAATAGATCCAAAACTCAAGCCAACGAAGAGAGATTATAAAGAACCCTAGGGTGACACCAGATCTGAAATCCTAGGCTGATTGGATCAGCTGATTGAAAGAAATCAATAAAAAACCAACCTGCTAGGTGTCCTTTCCAGGCAAAACATCAGCTTCTTGAGCCATTCGAAACAGCCTCCAGAAAGCACTCAAAGCAGAAATCGGATATAGATAAAAACTTCTTGAAGTTCCCTTCTAAACCACAGATTCAAACTTGGTGATTCGAACAAGAGAGAAACACAATTTAAGGGGTGTCAATGGATTGAATCGACCTGGACCCCAAAGAGTCTTTTATATATTAAAATATGTACAATTACAAGAAAGCCCTTATAGGGCTGAAAGAGGGAAAAAATGAAAGAATATGATATAATACAACAGGGACTTTGATAATAGGATACATTAAAACTCTCCACAATTCAAACACTATGCTTATCTTGTATGGATCAAGTATTAGGAAATGTATCCACATTGTAAACCATATTAGCACTTTCTCTACTATAAATGTAAAAAGAAATTTTAAACGTATGGGGTGCAATATGTTTGTATTTTATTGACGATTATTATATATTGTACAAACTGATGGATATATTTGCTAGGTGGTAGTTAATCTTGCAGTACTCATTGGCCATCCTTAGAACTATGTTGAAACAATTTTCTTGACACGTAATTATTTGACTGTTCATTTTCCATCTGATTAAATTAATTGATATTTTTTTCCTTGAATAGAACCGACCTGCTGAGCTGATTGCAAAGTTTCTGGATGAAAAACTTCGTGCTGGTAACAAAGGAACATCTGAAGAGGAGTTGGAGGGCACACTTGATAAAGTTTTGGTTTTATTCCGGTTTATACAAGTAAGTTGCTTAAACATGTTTCTTAACTCTGAAAGGGAAATTATGAAGTTTGTTCTTGCATGTGGATTATTATTTTATTCTATATCTACATTTGATGCTTTTTCTTTACGTTGGTTTATTGCATCTATACATAGAGTCAAATTATTATGTACTTTCAGACACTGATAAACATGTCTCATATTTCCTCTCCTTGTAATAAAGGGTAAAGATGTATTTGAAGCATTTTATAAGAAGGATCTTGCGAAAAGGTTACTGCTGGGAAAGAGTGCCTCTATTGATGCAGAGAAGTCAATGATATCCAAGGTAACAGATAGGTTATCTATTGGCAACTAGTTTATGTTTGAGGATTAACATTGTACATCTTTTCAACAAGTTCTTTCAACTATTTCAGCTGAAGACAGAATGTGGTAGCCAGTTCACAAATAAACTTGAAGGGATGTTCAAGGTGTGTATCCATGTTCTGACCAGTTGCCTCTTTTGTGAAATGTTATTTTTTTCCTTGTTTTAGAGCTTCATCAGAAATGCTGTGCTTAGGACCTATAGTTGGTGTTAGTGCAATAATTTGTAATTAAATGATATTGATTTATATTGCTGAAGGTTTTACATATATTAGTTGACCTAGTCTCCTTCCTGTTTGGAGCTTCTTTTCATATATTTCTTGGTTGGATCTTTTGTGCTTTATTTATTGAATTAGATCAAGTAGAAACAGGTTTGTTTTGGTTTAGCAATAGAAAATTTCTAAGAAGGGAGGAAGGAAGCCAAGCAGATGAGAGTAGTTTAGTTTTGTCTCAACATGCTGATAAATTGAGGGGGAAAAGTGGAGCTTAAGAGTTTGGTGGACAGGGAAGTTAGAATTGGCAAGAGTTTAGTGCTTTTCTTTTGGAGAGGTGAAGAGTTTGCTAGAAAAGCTTTCAAAATATTTGAAAAAGGGAAAAGGAAGTGAGAGAGTAGAAGAAGCTTCAACGGAAACCAATGTTTTAAAATGCGGAGGTGTGATGCGAGGCATTCCACTACCTAGAGGCGTGAGGCATAGGGGTGCTCACGGTTCGGTTAACCGAACCATGGGGTGTTTTTTCAAACCGAACCAATCTGATCGGTTTTTTAAATATCCAAACTGAAACCAAACCGATGCAATTGGTTAACCGGTGGACCGGTTAACCGCGGTTCGATTTTTCGGTTTTTTTTATGCACTTAAAATAAAAAAATAACTAAAATTGTCACAGTTGGTGGTTGCTGTCGGTGCCGCGTGCCAGTGGTTGCTGTTGGTGCCGGACTGGTTGGTGTTAGTGGTTGCTTGAAGTGAGAGCTTGAGAGGTGGCGCCTGGCGGAGACGTAGAGAGGAGAGGTGAGAGAGAGAGAATAGAGATACAGATGGCATTGGACCGTTGGTGCTTGCTTGCTGGCGAGGCGATCGGCGTTGCTGCTTGGTGCTTCCGTTTTGGTGGTTGGCGCAGGCCACACGGCTGTCTGGAGTGAGGAATACGAAGAGTCGAATTGAGAGAGTGAGAGAGACAAAAGAGAAAACTGAGAGACTGAGAGAGAAAAAAGAGAAAAGACTAAGAGAGTCTGGCACTCTGGTAGTCTGGCACTGTGACATCGAACTTTCAATTGAAATTTGAACCTTTTAAGGCTGAAAGTCTCTCAGACCGCTGAATAAACCGAACTCTTATATTTGATTTAAATGGTTAACCGAAACCGCCGGTTTTTTTAAATGGTTAATCGAAACCGAACTGGCCGGTTTGGTTAACCAAATTTTCGGTTCGGTTTGCTCACCCCTAGTGAGGCATAGTTTAGAACGTAAGAGGCGTAAGCCTCCCGAACACAAAGAGGCGTAAGCCTACTTAAGAGGAGGAGGGGGGGATGAAGAGGAAGGAGGATCTTATTTTTCTTTATTTTTAATAAAAATCTTTTATATTAAGAAGAACGAAGATGCATATCACTAGTTAAAAGGGGGGGGTCTATAAATTTTTTTCGTTTTACTTTTCAAAAAAGAAAGCAGCGGAAAATTGGAAATTCATCAAGTAAAAAGGAAGATGCCTAAGTGATGCACCAGAGGCAAAGGAACTCATCAAAATAAAAATAAGAGCAATCCTTCATGTTATTGACAATTTAAAATGTCTTACTGTATGAGCTCAAGTAAGGCTCGGTCCTTCTGATCTTCTATTTTTTACAGTGGACAGGTTTTGCACCTACATTTGTTAGTAGGGGAAGGATTAAGATTAGAAATAAATCAGGAAGTGAAAATGATGAGAAACAAGGGACATGTTCTGGGTGATGTATTGACAAAACAAGAAATATGTCTATAACAGTACAGTGGGTTGGGAGACCAGCTAATGCCGATGTATAGGAAAAACAAGGGACAAATAAGGAAACATTGTTCTGGGTGCAACTGTAACTCTTGTTTAACATTAGCATTCATGTAATCTCTGTTGTAGTTTATGTATTTGCTGTTTGGAGAGGTGGCACCTCGCGCCTTTCTAAGGGGATTTTCATGTAACCAATCTTTGAAATAATGGAAGATGATTTTAATTATCAAAAAAAAAGTGAAAATGATGAGAAGAAAGAAAGTAGGATGAAGAAAGAAAGAAAGAATAAAAAAGAGAACCAAATAGGCTAAAGCATCTTCCATATAGTGTACTGTGAATGATGAGAAGAAAGTGAACCAAATAGATGATTTTATTTATCAAAAAAAAGTGAAAATGATGAGAAGAAAGAAAGTAGGATGAAGAAAGAAAGAAAGAAAGAATAATGATCCAATCAACCTATTCACCATAATCTATATAGTGTACTGTGAATGGGTAAAAGTAGTGATGGCAGTAGACAAAAATATTCAGCACTCCTCCACAAGCTGAACATAAATGTTAGTCATGCCCACACTAGCGAAAAATTTCTACCAACTTATGATGCAAGTATGCAACTAATTTCCAGACTTGACAAATGGAAGACAAACTACATTAGATGCAGCCTTCTTTTGAATAAAATTACAAGTGCTCTCATGAGTCTCCATGTACCAATGAATATGCTAACGAGTCAAATTGCTCTGATTCACCATATCATACTCAGGGTGGAGAGCCCAAGTAAGAAATCAAAACACTTAACACCCTATTCCTCTCAACCAACTTCTGAATAGTAGATACATCCTTGGGACTTTCTCCTGCCGCAATGACTTCAATATGGATAAGTAGACTGTAAGAGGCTTGATGCAGGAGCTAAAGAGTCAAAATTGGGATGTTCAAAATTCTTATGTATTTCTGTATTTTTGAAGAATAGGGGTATTTTAGTCATTTTAACTTGTGTATCTTAATTTCAATTTTCTAATCATGTTTAGTCATGTTTAAATTTTGTCATTGTTAAGTAATTTAAGATTTATTTATTTTCTTTGTTGGGTTTATGAGTGGCAAAATTGTAATTTTAAGTTTTCTAATTTAGAAAGCAGTTTGGTTGATATGTTTGAAGTTGCAAAATGTGAATGCGTAGTGTTGGAGTTTATTTTCTGCTCGTGTGACTTGTGTGAGTGATTCCCCACAGCACTAGAGTGATTCTCGGAACCTTAGGAGTGATCCCTAGGCTTCTCTCTCTCTCTCCTCTCCTCTCCTCTCCTCTTCTCTTCTCTTCACTTCTCTTCTCTTCTCTTCTCTTTCAAAGTTTGAACTCAGCTACTCAGCAACCAAATACCTTGGAAAAGGCAATCAGAAACCAACATTTGACATCAATTAAGGGACTGAATTTGATCCCAGGTAAGCATCATCTCTATTCCCTTCAATTCTCAACATCCACACACCATTATGGAGAGAAACTTATCTCTCTATATCTTCCCTACCACACCTTGATGAAAATCAGATCTGCTTCAGCCATCCTCTGTAAGTGGCCTAATTAATATGGAAATGGTCCACTCTTTCTATTCACAACTATTTTATTTATGCATATAGATGGAAATTCATGAAGCTTGGCATCTTTACAGAATTTACTATCATAATTTCTTTGGTCTTGGGTTTGGAATAATGTTGTCAATTTTTGTGCTAAGTCCAACATGTAGAAGCAGCATTGAACAGTGATATAGTTGAACAAAATAATTAAATGGATGGAGTACAAAGAAGAAAGCAGCATTGAACAGTAAATCAATGATTCAGAACTATTTATCCCTTGGTGGAAAAAATTGAGAGGGCTTAACCCTATAAGAAATGCATTTTTCCAAAATAACCTTTTAGGTAATTTCCCTAGACTCTGCCATCAGTTCCATGATGTAATTAATTGATGATGACAAGTGCTCTTTCAAGATTCAAATAATCAATGTATGAGGATTGTGTGTTATTCTCTGTATAATGTTCCATAAAAGTTATTCTCGGGGATTCCAAAGGGGAGGAAAGAGATGGGAAGCTCAGCACTGGTACAGGAGAGAAGGGATGGGGGCATGGACAAGACCAAACTTCTCCTACAGAATGGCGGTGAAGCCAGGAGTTTGGCCGGACTTTGGACGATCTGAACTGAAAAATGTTGAAGGTAAGCAGGTGGTTTTTACGGAGATGAACGGGGTGGAGGCTAGAAGAAATTTTCTATGTGACTGCTTAGTGGGAAGCTTCGGGTGGAAGGTAGGGTTATAGGAGGTGGATATTGGGCAAATAGAACCTAGAAGGATGTGGGGGGAGTGAGGGTGAAGAAGTTGGTGGATGAACTCTTTTTATTCATCCTGCCTTCCAGAGCATATGCGAAATGGATTCTTGATAAAGGTCCATGGATAATGGGGAGGAATCCTCTCCTCCTGGATTGGTGGGGAGCTAGTGCGAGCTGCTTCTATCCGGAGTCGAATGGGGACTTTGACCAGTTGGAGGCTACCTGGATCAGGGTGTTCGGTCTGCCTTTTCTACTTTGGTGCCCGAGCGTCATGAAAGCAATTGGAGATGCTTGTGGTGGTTTTCTTGAAACCGATGATACTCCTACTGAGTTGGCTACATGCGAGTGGATTCGAATGAAGGTGAAGAAGGGAGGTACGGTTCCTGATAAGGTGGAGATCATGGTTGGGGAATCTCTCTTCTCAGTTTCCATCTGGCCTGAAACCTTACCGTCAGTCCGAAGGTGGAAGATGGAGAGTTACACAGAAGAGAGGACTCATAAGGAGAGGGCGGATTCGGCGGTTTCCAAGACAGTAGTCTTAGAGGATGTCAGTGAATGTTCTTTGCAACATGATCTTCCGAGAAATCTCCTGGGTGGTGAAAATGTGTCGATGAGGTTGCCGGAGCTTGGTGGAGAAGATGATCAGACCCACGGTTTTGATAAGAACTGTTCGATTCCTCTGTCAATGGAGGGTCAAGATTTAAACTCTAGAGAGGCTCTTGAGGGAAGTGCCTCTTTGTCGAAGATGGGATTCCTTGGGGGTGGTGCAATGGTGGAAGAAATCAGAAACTTAATAAAAGAATGTTTAAGAGAATTACAAGTGGCACCTATGCAGGAGAGCCCGATGAAGAAAGTTAATGAGGTTAGACAACTCTCAGAGGTTGGGGATTGTGTAGATGTGCTTGTTTTGAAGCGGGTCTAGTCAGGAGCTTAGAAGAAAAATAAACTCTAAGTCTGCCAGTGAACCAAGATGGTCCGGAGGTAGACAAAGACAATACAGTCCGGCTAGGGTTGAACCAGATTGTATTCTGGGTCGTTTGGAGCTGACGTGGATCACTCAAACTCCTTTGCAGTCAGGGTGGAATGAGTTTGGAACTTCGGTGAGTCTGTCGTCTCCTCCCCTCGAAGCTGAGCTCCGGGGTGATAGTCTGGAGCTCACGACTTCCATCTCTAGTCATCCTGGACTGGTGAAGTCGACGAGTGCTGATCATCGAAGACTGCACCGACCTTCTCTCTCCCTAGTTCCTGTGAACGAGAAATTGCTGGAGGTGACGCCGTTAGCAGTGGTGGATGTTGAAGAACAAATTGCAAAAGTGAGTGATAATCTTGATCAACCCAAAGTGATGGTGGAAAATGAGAAATGCCTTGTGGCGATCTCGGGACTGAGGAGGATGGTAAGTCGAGTAACAACACTTCTCAGTCTTCCTCCCAGGTTACTTCTAAGCTTTTAGAATTGGGAAACTTTCTGGGGGTCTCGATGGAGGGAATGGAAGCGGAAATAGTGAAATTCTTGGAAGAGATTGAAAAAAGAAGTCTCTTGGAAAGGGGTAAGATGGTGGCTAAAAGAGGGGGGACAAATTCCAAGAGGAGCAGGGAAATGATGCGTCTTTCCTAGAGTTTGAATGAGAAGGCAAGGAGTAGTGATGGGGCTGTTAGGGGGTCGAAGAAAAACTGAGAGGGTGGGGTATGTGAGTTTTGGAGTGGGGGGGTGTTTGCTCTTTTGATTTGTTTTATCAATGAATCTAAAAATTCTTTCCTGGAATGTTCGAGGGCTGGGGTCGGGGAGAAGAAGAATGGTGGTTTGTGATTCCCTGAAGGCATCAAATTCGAAAATTGTCTTGCTTCAAGAAACCAAACTGGAGAAAATTGATGCTGGTATTATTCGGAGTGTTTGGGGAGATGGTCAGGTAAGATGGAGGGCAAAGGCAGCTAATGGGAGTGCAGGAGGGTTGTTATTGTCTTTGGGACCCCTTGGTTTGTAGTTTGATTTCTTGCAGGAGTGGGAACTTCTCGATTTCTCTAGTCTTGAAGCTGCAGGATGGCAATACTATTCAAGTCACAAATGTGTACGGTCCAACAGTTTCTAATCTTAGGGAGGGCTTTTGGGAGGAGCTGGTGAGGGGCTCTTTGGTTCATCCTTGGGTCATTGGGGGTGACTTTAATGTCACCTTATCAGTGGAAGAGAAGAACATAAGGAGCGGCAGAACTGTGTCGATGAGGCGCTTTGCAGATTTTATTAACACTATGGATCTCGTGGACATCCCCATCCAAGGTAACAGATTCACATGGACAAGTAACCAAGATAATCCTACCCTGGTCAGGTTGGATAGATTCTTTCAAATTGGGAGGATATTTTTCCGGACTTTAGGCAGATCTTTCTGCCCAGACCTGTCTCAGATCACAGTCCTATTCAGCTTATATGCGGGCATCGGGAGAAGATCAAAGCTCCCTTTAAATTTGAAAATACTTGGTATGAGGAAGAGAATCTTATTCCATTGATGAAGACTGTGTGGGGAGATACTCAGGTGGAGGGTTCCAGCTCCTTTACTCTGGCAAAAAAAAATTCTGCTATCAAAAGGAGAATTAAAATCTGTAGTTTGGAGAAAAAACTAAAGTTGGGGACTGAAAAGAAAGCCTTACTGGGCACCATCGAAGAGATTGATAGAGCTGAAGAATTGGGGCCAATTTCTGAAGAATTAAGGCTGAAAAGACTTCAAGCAAAAAACAGCATTGACAAATTGGTTGTGAAAGAGGAAATAAAATGAGACAAAGGGCTAAAATTACTTGGCTGAAGGTGGGTGACAAAAGCACACATTTCTTTCACAAAATGGCAAATGCTCGAGCTAGAGTTTCAGCTATTATTAAGTTGGTATGGGATGAGCAAAGCAGAGAATCAGATTCAGAGATCAAATCAGTTGCAACCTCCTTTTATAAAGAACTCTACAAGGAAAAGTGGAGGCTGAGGCCCTTTCCCTCAAATCTCCCTTTTAGGCAACTGAGTGAAAATCAGAAATGTTGGCTTGAAAGACCTTTTACAGAAGAGATCAGTACAGCAATTAAGAATCTTGAAGGAGATAAATCGCCTGGGCCAGATGGTTTCACAAATCTCTACCATCTGAAGTGTTGGGATTTTGTGAAAGAGGATGTGATGAAGGTGTTCCCGGAGTTTCATGCCAATGCATCCCTGCAGAGGAGTTTCCTTATTCCAAAAATTGAGGGGGTTGTGAATATTAAGGATTTTAGGCCTATTAGCTTGCTGCATAGTTTCTATAAAATCTTAGCGAAAGTCCTGGTAGAAAGACTGAAAGGGGTGATAGGTAATGTTGTTTCAAATAATTAGAGTGCTTTTGTTCCGGGCAAGCAGATGATCAACTCAATTTTAATTGCCAATGTGTTAATTGACTCTAGGAGAAGAGAGGGCATCCCGGGGGTTGTTTGTAAGCTTGATATTGAGAAGGCTTATGAATGCATCAACTGGAATTGTCTGGATAGGGTGCTGGGATGCATGAATTTTGGACAGAAGTGGAGAAACTGGATTAGTGTTTGTACCAAGACCCCTAAATTTTCAATCTTAATTAATGGGCAATCTATGGGGTTTTTTGGTAGCTCTAGGGGACTGAGGCAGGGGGATCCCCTGTCTCCTTTGCCGTTCATCTATGTTATGGAAATTCTCACACTTTTTAGTAAGAAGGCTGCAGATTCGGGCTTATGGAATGGATTTGCTATATCCCCAGGAAAGGAGAAAGTAAATATCCTTCAGTTTGCATATGATACTCTTTGTTTTGTGGATGCCTCTCTGCATCAGTTGGATACAGTGCTTGGAATTCTGAGCTGGTTTGAAGTGGTATTGGGTCTCAAAGTCAACCTGAGTAAAAGTAAGATCATCCCAGTGGGCCAAGTATCAAATTTGGATGATTGTGCACAAGTGATGGCTTGTCATTATTGAGTTTCTCCCGGTAAAGTATTTGGGACTGCCTCTTGGGGCCAAATTTTCTTCCTCAATTTGGTGCCCAATCATTGAGAGAATGGAGAAGAAATTGTCCTCTTGGAAGGCAAAATACTTATCCTTTGGTGGTAGGGTTACATTGATAAAGAGTACTCTATCCAACCTCCCAACATATTTTCGTTCTCTCCTTCCAATTCCAAACAAAATAGCAAAGAGGTTGGAACAGCTCCAAAGGAATTTCTTATGGAGGGGTTGGGAAGATGAGGAGAAAATTCACATTGTCAATTGGGAGCAAGTGTGCCTTCCTAAGGATGTGGGTGGTCTGGGAATCAGGAAATTGAAAGAATTTAATTCTGCTCTTCTTAGTAAATGGATATGGAGATTTGCTTCTGAGAGGAAAGCATGGTGGAGGAGTCTTATTGCGACCAAGTATGGTGTGGTTTTGGGTGATTGGAGAACTCTTGATCCCCTTCCATTTGGGGGTAGTTCTCTTTGGGCCGGCATCTCTAAGTACAACACTCTTTTTATGAATGGGATCAGTTTTAAAGTCGGTAAAGGGGATAGGATCCAGTTTTGGAAGGACCCCTGGTGTGTGGACGGTCCCTTGGCTGAAGTCTTTCCTCGTCTGTTCCAAATTGCAGAGAATCAAGATTCTTCAGTTGCTGATAACATTTGCATTTCTGGGGATTCTTTCACTTGGACTCTTGTCTGCAGGCGGAATTTGTTAGATTGGGAAGTGGATGAGTATGTGGATCTGTTGGGGCTGATTCAAAATCAGAGAATTGACTTGTGTGTGGAAGATGAATGGATTTGGAAGTGGAATGCAGATGGTAGCTTCTCAGTTAAATCCCTTTTTCTTAAGATGTGCAATTCAGGTCAGGAGAACTTCCCAGCTAGGCAGATTTGGAATCCTACCTGCCCCTCCAAGGTTAATTTCCTGGTTTGGACAATGGCTCTGGATAAATGTTTAACTAGGATTAATTTGGAGAGAAGGGCTGTTCAGATTCTTGATCCCTCCTGTGTTTTATGTGGAAATTGTGCTGAATCTACAGAGCATTTGTGTATTCTCTGTCCAGTTTCCTCTTCAATCTGGGGACATTTTTTCAAGAAACTGGAGGTTTATTGGTCTATGCCTAAGTGTGTGAAGGAGCTGCTAATGGGTTGGAGATTGGAGGGTTTTAGCAAGAAAGGTAATCTTGTTTGGAATACCATTCTGCATGCTGTTCTTTGATCCATTTGGACTGAAAGAAACAACAGAATCTTCTGTAATCAATCTAAAGCCCAGAAGAGGTAGTGCAGAAAGCAGTCGGGAAGATTTGTTCCTGGGTGTCGGTGAATGAGGAGTTTAAAAATCAGAATGTATCTCACTTATTTTGCACTAAATCATGGATGTACTTGTAATCTGTTTTGGGCCCAGGTAGACATAGTGGTCTAGGCCTTGTTGTAATCTTCATTCTCTCTGAATTAATTACTTTACCTTTTTCCAAAAAAAAATGATAACAAGTGCTCTTGCTAGATTTTAATGGTATTTTGCAGCTAGTTCTGTATCATCTGTATGGATTCCCATTTAATATAATATGGTCATATTCATTTGCAGGATATTGAATTATCAAAAGAGATAAATGAGTCATTCAAGCAGTCATCCCAAGCTAGGACAAAACTCCCTTCGGGTATTGAAATGAGTGTCCATGTCTTAACAACTGGGTAGGTCTTGCTTTCTCCAATTTAGTATTGTAAACATGTTATAACACATTAAGAGCACAAGTTAACACTGCTATGAAAGTTCATTTTCCTGAAAATTTGTAATTTTGGTTTGGTAACTGTGTACAGGTACTGGCCAACATATCCACCGATGGATGTACGGCTTCCACATGAACTGAATGTATACCAGGTAGGTGAAAAATGGTTTAGGAGTTCTACTTTAGAAAGTAAGCTACTTTGTGTTTAATCACCGGCTCTTTTATCTTTCATGGTGAGACAGGACATTTTCAAGGAGTTCTACTTGAGCAAATACAGTGGAAGGCGCTTGATGTGGCAAAATTCTTTAGGTCATTGTGTATTGAAAGCTGAATTCCCAAAAGGCAAAAAGGAGCTGGCAGTTTCACTATTTCAGGTTGGTCTTTTCTTAGATTATTCACTTTTTTTATTTTAGTCAAGAACTAGATTTTATTAAAGATCAAAAGCTTACAAAGCAAGAATTAGGTTGGTCTTTTCTTGGATCATTTACTTTTTTAAATATTTTACTCAAGAACTAGATTTTATTGAAAGCTGAACATGATACTAGTATGCTCCAAAGCAGAAGCTATCTAAATGTCAATGCTTACAAAGCAAGGGAAAATGCCCAAACAAAGAATACAGGAAAACAGTACTAAGGGCCCGTTTGGTTCACAGGAATAGGGGTCTGGACTCTGGAGCCATTCCGATTCCAACTGTTTGGTTGGGTGGAATCGGAATCCCATTCCCATTCCTGGTGGAATGGCATTCCCCCATTTGAGGGAATGACCATTCCCTCCCCCTCGGGAATGAAATTCCATTCTAGGTGATTTCAATTCCTATTCCGATTTCTGTCTGAACCAAACAGACTATGGGAATAAACCATTCTGATTCTGATTCCAATTCCTATTCCGACTATGAACCGGACCCTAAACTTGTACCTAAGATTTCCAATGGGGTGTCCTAGCAACTTTACATGCAAGGAAATGAGATACAGAGATAGCAGATCTTAGTTCTGATCAGTGTGGTTTGCAATACCAGTGAGATTTGGTGAAATCTCCCCCTTTTACTAGGGGGCAATATGAAATATTTCAACCATATTTTTAAAGTTTCATTAGAATTGTCAAAAAAATGTTTGAAAATATTTTCCTAAAAGAAAAATAGGGATTCTATAATTGGATGATTGTCTATCTTTAATGTAGTTCATTTACTCGGGCCATTTGATAACAGTCGACCTGAATTGAGTGACTTACTGTTTTGTCTTTTAATAGAGAAAATAATTGAATAGTAAAATATTTAGGGGTATATTAATCTACCCAACTTCAGCCTCAGCCATTAAAGAGCCTAGAGCCTCCTTGAAAACTAATTCAATAAAAGACAAAGCAATAAGCTTTTAAATTCAAACACCTCAACTATCATCAAATGGCCCCTAACTCAAAAAGTAACAATAACAAAACTGGGATAGAGGATTAAGATTCTCAATCTAATCAAAACATATAATAAAAAAAAGACAATCAAAACAGCAACTGAATGACATACATACAAAAGAGAGGTAATTAGAAAATTTAGGCAGAGAGAGATACCAATTTAATTTGCTTAATTTCTCTTATTTGATGTACACAGTTGGTTGCTTTTTGTAAACAACACATGAAGTTTTAACAAATTCTTTGTTTTTAGTGAATTTCCTAATTTCTTTAGATTTTTCAACCATCTTAGGAAAGTTGGCAAAATATCCCTAAAATATTCTCATTCTTCATAGTGAAAAGCCCATCCATATTGAAATTGTGAACTATGCCAAGCAGAATAAAGAGTCAGCCCATCCACAATTAGCTTGTCTTTTTGATTTGATGATTAGCCTCCAATGCCTAAGAGCACAAACAAACATGCACCCAATATTGACCCGGGAATGAGTATAACCAAATGTATCTGTCAATTATTACATGGTTTCCCTGCTTCTTTTGTTACCCTGTTTGTTAGATTCTTTTCTCCCTTTTTCTTTCTTATTTGTCTCATATTTTTGTATGCTTCATCCATGGTGCAGACTGTTGTCTTGATGCTATTCAATGATGCCCAAAAGCTTAGCTTTCAAGACATAAAGGATTCAACAGGTATCGAGGATAAAGAGCTAAGGAGGACTCTGCAATCACTTGCATGTGGAAAAGTTCGTGTGCTTCAAAAGGTGAGTGATGATCCCCTTTGAAATATGTTCTATCCCACTTCTTTGAATGGTTAAATATGAGAGATATTGGGTTTGTTCCCAGTTCCCCAAAGGGAGAGACGTGGAGGATGATGATTCATTTTTGTTCAATGAAGAATTTAGTGCTCCTCTGTATCGTATAAAGGTAAATACCTGGTCCTTTTCTTTTAATGGTTAAATGCGATAGTAAGCATTGGAACTTGAAGCTTCAAACATAGGTCTGACATTATCTTGAGGGAGCAGGTAAATGCCATCCAGATGAAAGAGACAGTGGAGGAGAACACAAGCACTACTGAAAGAGTTTTCCAGGACCGTCAATATCAGGTTTACCTATTTTCGTCTTCTGCTAGCAAGTAAAAAGCAAGTACAGTTCCGGTTACCAATTGCAAGTGTTGAATTAGCTGAATGAAAAATCTGCAATATTACTTGGCCACTGCAGGTTGATGCAGCTATTGTTCGAATAATGAAGACAAGGAAAGTGCTAAGCCATACACTTTTGATAACTGAACTCTTCCAGCAGGTAACAAGAGTTTTATTTCCATCTTCCTTTTGTTTAATTAGGTGAGATGGATATAATTGACATAGGGAACAAACTTGTTTTGATTGCACAGCTCAAATTTCCAATAAAGCCAGCAGATTTGAAGAAAAGGATTGAAAGCCTTATTGACAGGGAGTACCTGGAGCGGGACAAGAACAATCCCCAGATATACAATTACCTGGCGTGATTTCATCATGCTGTCAGTCGGGTTTGCTCTTTTCCTTGTAAATGGTGCAGGGGGGGAATTGCTGTCCACACTGGGAGGCAAGATATTCATGGGTTCATCCATCTTCAGATTTATGTACAGGAACAAGTAGTTTTAGTTTCATTTTCTTTAAACACTGTAAAGTATTTCTCTCTGTTCGCCACAATTTTTCTAGTTGTGGATTCAACCACCTTAAAGGTGAAGAAAGGATGATTCCTCGTCTATAGTAGTATATTTATTTTAGTGAAGAACAGTTCGCCTTTTACTGGTTTGCTGCCAGTTTGATGCTTGCTGCAATGGTGAAGTACTAAAATCTAAGGCTGATAAATGTGATAACATGGGCTATGGTCTGAGACAGAGGGGACACTGCATGCTAAAATACTCGAAGGTTAAGTTGTTATCCAATCCACCCCTTTTCAAGACCCGGGATGTCTCGAACCTGGGTGATGACTTTCTATTTCTTTTATGACACATCATCAGTTATCCGTTTTTTCAGTTTTATTTTTGGAAAATCTCTTAGTACTTCTAAGTTTTAGGAAATTGACTTATTTTACTCCCACTGTTTCGAAATTTCTTTAAAGTATCCCAAGTTTTTTGACAATTGAATAAATTCTCCCGTCATTTAGTGTTTGTTAATAGAAAGATGGAAAACACTATTTTATTCATCAGTTATCTAATTATCTTTAAATTTTCAAAATGAAACATTTGAATAAACCTGTTGTTAATAGAAATACCAGAACCAAACCTTCCACCCCACACCTCCGGCTGTAGTTGTACTATTTAGTTTTACCGTCAGCAATGTTGAATGATAAACATCAAGAGGGTGTTTTTATTTTGGATTTTGAGAGGGGGGAAAGTTGGTCAATAGAATTTTGGTTGTCATTGACCAAGAATCTCATGTTCATTTTTTATATTAATGTGGAGACCATTGAAAGTTTATTTTTCTGGGTACCATCCCCTAGGTGGGTAAATAATTTTTCCACTCAGGAAGAAAGTTGCTAATACTTGAATTGGACAAAAATACCCCTTTTAATAATGAATCTTTATGACTAAAATGGTCATTACCTTATTTATCTGAGAAATAAAAGAACCTGGGTAAATGCACTTACCCAGGTAAGTGTTTCCTAGAAATAATTTATCCAAGTAATCACATTTACTTGGGTAAATAACTTACTGAAAAATGAACGGGACCCAAATGACATTTGAAACCAGAAAGGCAGTTCAAACTTGTACTGAAGGCCACAAACTTGTTCAAACTCACTGTTTGTCCAAAAGAGAATAATGATTATTCTTGTGAAACACCCAGAGTAGCTAACAATAGTATCGCAAGAATTTTGAGGAGGATAAAGAAGCGGATGCCATAACTCTCTTATTGCCTTCTTTCCCTCACTCAAGCCTTTTTCTCTTTAGTTTGGCAATTGTACATGGTTCTAGGATAGCCAAATTTATAGGCAAAAAAAAGTATAATTTGAAAGAATATTCCACAAAACTATAGCAGTATGCAAAGTATTGCACATGTCCCATTTTCTTTTGATAATTTTTGGTGAGCAATATATGTGGGTTAGTGTGTGGTAAGGTGGGCCTTCACAAAATTAAAGAATATGGCCAGCCCTTAATAGATTGAAAAGGGTAAGGGTTTTTAATGAGTTAATTGGAATGAGTTGATTTGAAGTGTCAGTGGTAAATTTATAAAAAGATTAAAATTACATTCACTGCATGCATATAATCACTATTCATTTTCCAAATGAGGTGGTGTATGATGCTTTTATTACTTTGAACCTGATTTTAAGAAGAACCAATCTGGGTTCAAAGATCAGTAATCTCCGGTGGATTGACATCTGAAAAAGCTTAAGAAAAGAAAAAAAGTTGATCATGAGGGCATCAACATGCCTTAATATAATGTAGAGAGCACACGATGACAAAGATTAATTAATTGAAGGAAATATCATCCGGTGACCAGGTTCAAATTTTGGAAACAGTACCTCTCTCTCCCCAGACCCTACGTTGGTGGGAGCCTTGTGCGTTGGGCTGCCATTGTGTCACCAAACATGCCTAAAACATCCCTGTTTTTGTTTTTGTTTATTCTGTTCTTTACATGTTCATGTTAGCATGGAGTCATGGACTTATTTCAGTAGCCAAGCTTTAAAGTAAAACCAAAGTAGAAAAAACATTAATTAGCATCAACATACAAGAGGAGTGGCAATTGAAAACAAATTAATGAATACACAATCTTTTCGTAGTGATCTGTGAGGTAAAATCTAGAATAGCACATACAAATTACAAGCAATAGAACAGTAGGTTGAATTTTACCACCCAATACTGAAACCATAAGGCTGTGTGGTTTGAAGGAAAAGGTAAGAAAAGGAAAGGAAAGGTAGGGAAACCTTTACAAGCCTTGTATAGGTTTTCCTACCTTTCCCTTCAAAGTTCAAGCCAAACATTGCCTAAAATAGAACTCTAGATGATAGTTGATGTGTTTTAACTTAACTTTCGTTCTATCTCTACTGGACATAGAACATTGGAACAGATAAGTGGTAAGTTATGTAAAATGGACGCAGGGACGGAGTCGTTTTCCTTCAGGTGGATTGAGTGTTATTTGTTGATTTGAAAAGAAGAGGACGATAGACTTGTTGCTTTTTGCTAAGCAAAGTTGAAAGAAATGATGATAGAGTGTGAAGCTGCTGCCTGAAAGAGTTTATTATTTTGGAGCTCTCCATCTCTCCCTCTAATAACAGTACTTTACAACTTTTTTTCTGGAACTAGAATCTACTTAATAAAATCTCTTGTAATTAATATACACTTTGCTGCATCGGCCTGCCACATAAATAAAAGACAGAAAGCAACAATCTTATTAGGGTTTTTTTGTATCAAAAACCTTGTCGTTATTGTGATTGTATATAGGGTGCTCTATGTGCTGGTGGGTGGTTGACAATGTCCATGAAAGCAAACAAAGTGAGAAATCAGAAAAGGCCATGGGAGAAACGTTACAAGTGGTAAATAAAAGAGCTGTGCTTGGGTCACCCAAGAGAGAATGAATTGTTTCTCTTGTTGAGTTTCAAAAATAAATCAAAATCATCTGGTTGAAATAATTATTGGTTTTCAATACAAAAAACACAAATCAAATAACATGTTCTTAGTTTTATATATGCATGTGTTCCTTTTTTTTTTTGGTAAACCTCAGAAAGATTCCGTTACTTATAGTAACATATTACATTGGGTACTATGGCTGTTCATACTTTCTACTACGATATTATATTTACATGCATTATAAGCAAGTTCATGGGCAACTATATTCATACTTCTATTTACATGGTCTATAACAGTTATATCAAAAAAGGATAGTAGATGTAGAACTTTCTGTTTGATGGCTTGAACTTGCCAGTCCATTTCATTATCCATATAGATGTTGTTTACCAAGCTTTCTGAGTCAGAAAAGATAGCCAGGCTCTTCATCTTCAGCTTTATGGCATATTGAATGCCATGTAAGAAGGCCCACCATTCGGCTTGAAGTGAATTAGCTGCTACAATTCTTCTGCTACCTGAGAAGATTTCATTATCATTTGCTGAGAGAATCCATGCTCCTGTTCCTGCCATACCAGATGATGGATTAAAGGGCCTGTCGATGAACATTTTGTATTGTGCAGCTAATATTATATGAGCATGCAGAAAAGACGGATGGGAGGGCTGTATAACCAGGCTTAGGACTAGATACCAGCACATGTGATGTAGCAAATTTACTAGATTAATGATCTTATTTTTGTGCTCCGCTGCATTCCTCATATCCCATATCAACTTGAATAATATAAGGAACTTTGCAATGAAGGCTTATTTTTCTTCTTTGCTTAGACAGTTTAATTTAGAGTCTATCCACTCTTGTATGAAAAGATAAAGTTCCTTATTTCTTATGAGTTCTGGGTTTATTCCTAAACAAGCCGAGAGCCATATTGCTCGAGCATAGGAGCACTCAAAGAAGAGGTGTTGCCAGGTTTCTGTAGTTACATGGCACAGTGGACATTTTCTCTCTTCTTCAGCAATGAAGTGTCATTTGTCCTTTGTAGCAACACCATTCCACCATGCCTTCCACATGAAGAGTTGGAACCTCATTGGAATTTTGCATTTCAATATGAGGTTCCAGTTCCAGTGCTGTCCTGAAGATGATGCTTGTGTTGACATGAAGAAATTATAACCTGACTTTACATCATATAGTTCCGATTTGGATCTCTTACAAATGATCCTGTCAGATGACAGGTGATGAGAGATTAAAGTTTGATAGATTGGGTAGCAGCTTTCTTGCTTAAAGATTGATTCAATTTTCCTTCTATCCCATTCACCTGACGTGGTGATAAGCTCATTCACTTTTAAACCCCTTAACTGAGCGGCTGCTTCGGGCTTTATATCTGGGATCCCATTAGTTAGCGCTGGTACCCATGGATCAGAAATAAAGACCTCTAAACCATTTTTGATCTGCCACATTGAGTTTGGTTTTAAAGTATCCCATAATTGGATAACCTGCTTCCACCATCCCGAGTCCGCGTGCTTTTTTTTGAGGGAGTAGATAGATTGATTTTTAACATATTTTGCTTTTATTGCCTCCCTCCATAGCCCCTTTTCATTGGACCACAATCTCCATATGGTGTGCATTGATTTGTTGTCTGCTGAGCCATCCCACCAAAAATTTCTGTGTTTGCTCTAACTTCTTTAAAGTGGCACTTGGAAGGATTGAGGATCCCATTATGTAATTTGGTACTGACTAGAGGGTTGATTTAATCATGACTATTCTTCCTGCTTGTGATAATAGTTTAGCCTTCCACCAACCTAGTCTTGTGTTAATTTTCTCTAACAATTCCAACTGATTGACTTTGCTTTTGTCCCAAGAGCAAGTTGGACTCCTAGATACTTCTCTGTTTTATTTAATTTTTTCATATGAAGGAGTGATAAAAGAAATTTTACTTTTTTCCAATGCACCCCCAGACTGAAGAAACCTCCAGATTTTATTCTATAAATTTTTTGGCCCGATATCTTCTCAAATTCCTTTAGTACCTCTAAAATCCACTGCACTTGTCTGGCCTCTGCTTTGCATATAATGAGACAATCATCCGCAAACAGTAAGTGAGAAATTCTTGGGCCATTTCTACTCAATGTGATACCTTGAATTTTCTTTTGTGCTTCCTCCTTGACAAGCAGACTTGAAAGTATTTGCATCCTAATGATGAATAGGTAAGGTGATAGTGGGTCTCCTTGCCTTAGCCCATTTTTAAGTTGGAAGAACTCTTTATTTGTTCCCTTTATTTTGATAGAGAATCTTGGGGTTTCCATACACCGTTCTATCATTTTATACCATTTTTCTGGGAAGCCCATGCTCTGTAACACTTTAATAATCAAATCTCTCATTCTGTCATATGCATTTGACAAATCAATTTTCAGGAGGACCCAACCTTTCCTTTTCTTTTGTTTTCTCATTTTATGTACAATTTCTTTGGTTAAGATCACATTATCTGCACACTGTCTCCCTTTGATGAAAGTAGACTAATTTGGAGCAACAAGTCTATCCAGGTACTACTGCATCCTCAGTACCAAACACTTTGACAATATTCTGTAAATGACATTACATACACTAATAGGTCTGAATTGGCTTATTGTCTCCAGAATTTTTACTTTTGGGATGTATACTAAGTTTGTAGAATTTATTTCCGGAGGAAATTTCTTAGATTCAAAGAATTCTCTCACCAAACTGCACACATCCGTTTTTATTATACCCCAAATTTTTTTGTAAAAATATGGTGAGAAACCATCAGGACCAGGAGCTGAATGAGATTCCATTGATTTAACAATTTGTTCAACTTCCTCATCCATAGGAGGGCTTAATAATTCTTGTGCTTCTTCCTCAGAAATTTTTTCCTGTATTAAATCTTGGATTTCTGGAATTTCAGAGTGGTCATTATTGCTCACCTCCTTTGCTTGAGATTCGAAAGTCTCTGCTACTTCCTCCAAAGTCATTAGATCTCCATCAGAGTTTTTTAAGGAATTCTAAAGCATTTCTTCTTCTGTTGAAATTGGTGATTTGGTGAAAATATCTTGTGTTTTTATCACCTTCCTTAAGCCACAATTCCCGAGATTTTAATTTCTATAATTTTTCTTCTCTCATCAGCCATTTTTCATATTCCTTCAGTAACACTGTTTTCCTTGTTGATCTTCTTGGATCCCCCCTCTTCTAGTTCAAACAGGTTCTTCTCTATCTCTTTGAGTTTTGATTCATTTTTTCCAAATCTCACCTCATTCCACTCTTTGAGAGCTACTTTACACCTGCGCAGCTTATTAGGGATTGATTTTGGTTGAGGTGGAGAAGCCCATTGATTTTCTATAATTTCTCTGCACTCTTCTTCCTCAGCCCATATAGGTAAGAAGTGAAATTGTTTTGGCCCAGAGATCTGTTGAGGATATGTGTCAAGGATTAGAAGAGAATGATCGGAGAGGACATTTTCGATAGATGTGATCCTAGCATATGGAAACATGGAATGCCAATGGATTATGGCCAAACCCCGATCCAACTTTTCTTTTACTTTCTTTTGTCCCCACTTTTTATTGGACCAAGTAAATTTAGTCCCAATCATTCCAATTTCTATCAAGGAGTGAAGTTCAATTAAGGTGGCCAAAGAAGTTGGCATTCTATTGATAGAAGTTCTAGCTCCACTGTATTCCCCATGGTGTAATACCTCATTTAAGTCACCTAAGATTACCCAATGTTGACTGTCTTTCATCTTATTATGTAACTCATGCCAGAATTGGGATCTTTTGCATTTAACAGGATGTCCATAGGTCAGGCAAAGGTTCCAATTTAAAGACATCTGAGGCAGATTTATAGATAAAACAATACATCTGTTGGAAACCTCATTTATGGAAATAGATAAATCTTTTTTCCAACAGCAGAACAGACCCCCCCGACTGTCCTTAGGCTGGGTTGTAACACAGCTGATATAATATTTGAGTTTCTGATTTAAAGATAATGTTTTCATCTCGTTATTTTAGTATCATGTTCCATAACTGATATAATATTTGTGCTTCAGTTTATTTTTTGTTTTAAAGAATTATCATATTTTTCTTTATGGGGTTCTTTTTTAAAACAAAATCAACTTATATTTGCTTTTGAAAATAACACAGTTGAAGAACATGTTTTCTGTTTGAAGCTCATGTTGTAATTTCAAAAACAAATAAAAATGAAAACATTCATGATATTTTGGGTGACTACAAATTAGGACCGATCATGTTGTATAATTGGCCATGATCTTTTTGGTCGGTCATTTGATCTGCCACATGGCATTCACTTGGGATATATCAGTGACTCATCCGTGGGGAACACTCTTATTTTCCTTGAATAAAACACAATTTTCATCTATTAACTATAGTAGACTACTGCACTATTTTCTTTGAAAGTAGGTTATAATTAATTGCATGGAGAAACTTTAATTTGTTAAGATTATTAAGCTCTTGAGCAATCAGATTCCTAATTTAAGACTGTATATCCTGTATCTTTTTTCTTGTATTTTTTATTCAATAAAACTTCTAATATTTCTTAAAATTCTGAAGTAGTTATCAGTAAGAGGATCTTAGAGAAATCTATGTGGTATAAGTATGATTTAATGATGAACCGACATGAAAAGAGGAGAAAAAAGTTGATCGTGGGGCCCTCATCATGTTCCAAACAAAAGGCTGAACTGATTTATATCAAAGCAATAACAATGACAATTCTGTGTATAAAGCACAAAATAACAAAAATAAAATAGGGTTTTTTTGTTCGAACAAGGTACAAATGATCATAACCAAAACATTCCAACTGATTTTGTTTATTGTTTGTGCATTATATGTAATTAATATTGAGCTTATTTCAATAGCCAAACCTAAAAATGAAGTAAAGATGAACATCAAGCATTATAAGTGGAGTGGCAATGACAAATACAATCTGCTCATAGTTGCTATGTTTTAATTGAAAATTTTCTGTTGTCTAGAAAATACAATATCGGAGAGTATGTTATAATTATATTCTATCTATGAGTAGAAGAAGAGACAAAAGAGCAAATCCTTTTGCACTCCACACTACTTTTTCTGAAACCTCCTCAAAGCACACACTATGAAATATCTTTTAACCCTAAAAATTGCTGCATCGGCCAGCCAAAGACAGAAAGCAAATGACAAAAGAGTTTGATAACGTTGAGTGGGTGGCAATGTGAGATAAGAGAAAATATTGTATGACATTGGAGTTGATTATATTTGGCAAAAGGTAGGCTTATATCACTTTGGTTCTATTATTAAAAAAGAGGTGGAAATGCTCCTTCTTCACGGTGGATATCACACCATGTCATCTATATGTTATTATAAGAAGTTTGGAAAAACAAAAAGGAAATTTCTGCTCTAAAAATAATCATACAACTTTCATGATAACACTGAGGATATGGTTTTAATATAGATCTTTACCAAATCAGAATTTATACATAATTTGGAGAATTTATTGATGTCAATGGTCAAAGAATTCAATCAAGCATCGGAAAAGGAAGAGATTTACAGGTCAGAGGTTTAATCAAGGTCAAACCGTGATGATGTATATGCACAATTACATAATATATACAAAATAATAGTAATTATATATTTATATTTAATATATATATATATATTTTTTAATTTCAATTTTTATATTAAAAATTAAGATTTGAGGTCAAAAAGGCTTTTTTTATCCTTATTCATTTGAACCGATTCAAATCTGGTCCCAACAAGCCACTACAACCGCCCATCAGGAACATCTCCCTTGTGAGGTGAACACCACCAATCCATCTTCTCTCTCTTCCCCTCTCTTCTTCTTCTTCTTCCTTCCACCTTGTACTGTGAACTTCCTAAATCTTCCCCACATTTCTTCTCTCTTTCCGTTGTTTCTCCCTCTTCTCCATTGCAACAAGGATCACATGTAGTAGAGAACAAGCTCTATTGGACCCATTATTCTAAACCAACTTCAGACCACTAGCAACCATCTCTGTCAAGAGCTCAAGCGAGGGATCCATCCCTAACGAATCCAAGCTGAAGCACAGGAATCAGTTGAGGTAATCCCACTACGACTTTACAAAAATAAGATTGGGATTATTGGCCTTTCAGCGGCCTGGATTGACTATGATTGTTGCTTGTTTCGGTGTGAAGGTCATGACCAAAATTGGACCTTTTTGTAAGTAGCCTTGTGTATCGAAAAAGACAGAGGTTGAATTAATACATGAATGAAAGCCGGTTTGAACTCATCATTTTTTATTGAAAAAAGCTTTATTCTACATACTGGGTGACAATGAAAAATGGAGATTTCTCTTCTGGTAAAACAAAACAAAAAATTAGTAGAGCCCAGCGAATGATTTCAATTTGTTTCTCGGATTCTTTGTTTAATGGATTTTGGAAACAAAGGAATAACCAGACATTTAGTTTGAATCATTAATCCTTTTGTGGGTTTATTTTGGTAGTAACTGGCATAATTGATTGTGTTTGTTAGAAAGCTTCTTGTAAGTTGATGCATAATTATATAAGTTCAGTTTTTGACAAATTGTTCTTCTCTATAAACTTCTGAAAGATTTGGACATTTGGATGATTAATAATGAAAATTACATGACACCTAAAAGGCGCTTAACGTCAGTTAAACAATTTTATACTAAACTTTCGTGAATTCAGATACTACATTGATACGTTTTAAAATTTGGATACTAAAGTAAAGGATACTAATCTGCAATTTACCCTTATTTCCATGGTGTCCAACTTCAATTGTTCTTCACACAGATTTTCTTGCCGCAACAAATAACTTGTCCGTCCTGTAATCTTTTCTCCACCACTATCTATGTCGCTTCTCTTGCCCTGGGATGCATATTAGTTCTAGTGCATGCGGGATATTGCCAAGAAGTGGCTCTGCTGTTATCACGGTTATTTGATGCTTCCCACCAGCTGAACGACCCAACCGGCTGATTAACCGATAAAACCACGGAGACTTGGTTTCTATCAGCACCAAGACACCAAGCTTTCAACAATGGCCGAAACAGTTGGATGCCAGATACCCTAGAGCCTAGATCTACAACGAAGACGAGATGATGACAAATAACAGTTCGATCCGCGCTGATTGTGTGAGCTTATCCTTTTTCAGGTCACAAGAGCTAGGGATTTTCGTTTCCAATCTACTTCATCACTTTGCCTGGTCCCCCATGGCAATCCAAACCGGTTTGATGGGAACAAGATTTTCATGGGTCAACATTAATAGCAAGTATAAACCGAGCCCAGACATAGAACCAATCCGTTGGCATCGCTAATTTGATCACATACCAACAACGTTGGGAAAGGAACTGATCCATAATGGAAAACAAAATTTGGTTTGATCCGGCCCAATTGGACCATCGGTTCTGTCAGTTTGACACTTTAAAATAGTGGAGCAGATTTTGGAGTACAAATGATGCACTCATGCACCTATAAAGTTTCTTACATGAATGTTATGAGCTTCAAAATTTATAGGAGGCATGTGGAAACATACTCCAATCGCTGTGGATTATACAGAACCAGTGAACCACCATTGCACGGTTCTGTCCAGTTTTCTGCTTACTGTTCATGGTTCTGGTTGACCCATTCCTACTGTCAAGTCTGGTTCAATTTTAAAACCACTGTTCTATGTTTGTGTGCATGTGGGAGAGAGAGAGAGAGAGAGATGAAAGCAATATCCAGATAAATGAAAAGTTCTTTAGTTAAGGGACTTACCACAAGCCTCGTTTCTCATACCCAGAACTGTATCCTTGATATTGCTGCATGAGCCCCTGATTTGCAGTAACCAGTCTTTTTTATATACGAGTGTTTGATTCAACATTTCTATTTCTTGTACTTCACATCCTGACCAGGACAGTCCCTAGCCCAATGCCCAGGCTTACCACACTTGTAACAGGTGCCTGATGAAGCAGACCTTTCTCCCCTATCAACAGAAAAATCAGATGGAGGCTTGGGGCAATCCCTGGCCCAGTGACCTTTTCCACATTTGAAACAGGATGAACCACCTCCATAGCTTTTATTACCCATGCTACTCTGAACCTGAGATGAATTCCCTCGGAGACCACCTGATGAGGTATGCTCATTGCACCATTTAAAGAAACCGCAAGAACTTGCCTACACAGAGATGTATATAAACAGGCTATTATTTTTACCATACAATTAATGAAAGGAGCTAGGATCCCCTACCCACAAACTGTTCCCACATCCATACCTACAGGACACTACAGGTGCACATGGGAATACCTCCCTTGCATTCATGGGGAGATGTTCCCAATACACAGTGCTAGTGTCTTGTGGTTATTGATAGGGGGACAGTTTGTTGGTAGGAGATCCGGAGTGTAATGAAAGGTATATCAAGGACCCCATAGTTTCTAACAGATCAAATTTATGATGCATGGAAAATATTATGATTGGACACTTGCATCATATGACATGATACATGAGAAACTTGGACATAACACTAACTGGAAACCTCTAAAAGTTAAAAGAGAGATTTTGAGCTCCATTGCAGACCTGTTCGAGTTCAAAGTTGGACAGTGGGATAGATACAAAGATTCTTTGGAATCAAGATCTCATCTGGGTTTCGGAGGCTATTCTCCCATTCCTCCAATCTTAAACAACAAATATAGTGATTTCATTGGATGTGTATCTGTGTGAGAGAAAGGCCTATAAACCAGAAAGGTTAAAAAGTAGGGTTCTATTTAATTTTCTTAAGTAGTTCTATGTGCTTTGTGGATTGGGAAGGGGGTCGGAATCAGGTTTTGGTAATATTTTATTCTCACCAACTGACAAACTTTGTCCTTACATGACTTGGAGCATTAGTAAGACTTGCCAAGTTTCTTATTTTCAATCAAACTGAGTCAAAACTCTGACCAAGTCTTGCCACACTTTAGGGCATATAGGTTTGATATGCCCCAGTTAGCCTTGAAATTTGACTCAACTGGGAAACTCAGAAATCCAGATAAACCAAACCCAAGTTTTTTATTTCTTTTTGAAGGGCTACACGGAGGGGGAGCCCATTCCCCAACCCATACCCCCCCCAAAACCAGGTACAGGCAGGATTCGATCCCAAGTCCCCACTACGACTAGCAGGCAACCTTACCAACCAGCTGGTTGGCACCTTGCAAACCAAACCCAAGTTTTCCCCAGTGATATATGCAAAAATGAAATATACACCACCTCTACTGAGATAGCAAATGGACTTTGAGTGTCATGAAATTGGATTAAATTAAGAGAACTACCGACTGCATAGCCATGGTATTTTCAATTATAAAATATACAGCAATAGTCACCATGGATCTCATCCACCTTGCCCTTAAAGGATAAACCATGGGTGATTGAATAGTCAATGTTTCTCCTAAATATTTATTTCAAAAGTAGGTTTTTGAACAAGACTGACATGGTAATATGCTTAAAGGCTTCAAAGCACATGCTTATGGAGCTGAGATTTCTTGTGTACATTTTACTGATGACACTACAATTTTTTATGGAATCCAACCATAGTGAATCTCAATCCTAGAGGTTTGTCTTAGGTTTTAAAAGCAGTTTCAAGTTGAATGATGCCCTCAAAAGATTGTGAGTAACTGAGTATTAATGTTGACAAGCAGGTTTTAACGAGTGATGGCAGTTCCTATAGTGTCCTTTTATCTTTTTATTATTGCTGTTTTACTGTTTTTTACAGCTTATGCCATTTTTTATTATATTTTTTGAAATGCAGTCAGCAGGGGTATCATGGTCATTTTCCTCAGTTACGAATGTAAAAACTAGCACTATATACATACATACATACACACATACATATCAATGAAAAGCTGGGGATTATTTTGTTTGGCGTGATCCCCCAAGCTGGTCAGACCTTTCAGTTTGCATACTTTAAGTTTGTTAGTGCTAGTTTTATTTTCATCTATAAAAAAATATAAATCAATCAAAGGAGGGCTATGCCCATCAGTTTTTTCCCCCAAATCTTTTCTCTTATTCTTCTACTTTTTTTCTCTTATACTATCAAATTCTGCCATTATTTTACTGTTTTTCTTACATAAATCAAATCTGAATTGCTTCTCTCCATTGAAAAGTTGGTATCCAAGCAGGTTCAATGCAAGTTGTGTATTTTATGTATACTTCGGTGCAGGGGTATCTTTGTCCATTCAGATGCTTTTTATAAACACTCTAATATAAATAGGGTTATGTAGCGCTGCCACAAACCTATGAACTTCTATTCACTTTTCTGCTCTCTTTCTTGTCTCTCTTGTACTTAGGTGCAGCCAACTCATTACAAACTGAAAGCATGAAAGAATTCATATGCATACTCCCTAACCCCACGTGTACCTTGCACACGGTGCTGGTATTGTTGGAACAAGTATTGGTCATAATCAGGGGGAAGGAATTGAGCCTGAAGTAACTGCTTCATTCTTGGCCATGTCCTAATAGGTTGCCTTCCAGCTCTAACTCTCTCCATTTGAACTTGATCCCACCAAGCAGCAGCTCCCCCTTTCAGCTTATAAGAGACCAATTTCACCTTCTTATTTTCTGCTGTCTTGGCAAAATCAAAGAATTTCTCCACCTCACGAACCCAATCTAGGAAATCTTCAATATGCAATTGTCCATTGAAAGTTGGCAACTCAATCTTCATCTTGTAATCCCTATCACCATAATTCCTTCTTCTAGGTGACTGTCTAGTAGGGATGATCATTTCAGCCCAGCCCGGAAATTCCGGGCTTGGGCCTGGGTTTTCTGTTCAGGCCCGTCCTGGGCCCGGGCCCACACCAGGCCCGCAAATTTTAGGGCCGGACTTGGGCTTAATACTTCAAGCCCGGCCAGGCCCGCATACATTTAAACTTACACATTTTGTGTATAATGTATACATGTTATTTTACATTATATTATATATTTATATATAAATATTATAACATGACATGTATAATTTATATTATATGTAAGACATTGGCCCCGAATCAGGCTCGGGCCCGTGTA